TTTCAGTTATTATAATTTTCAGCTTTAGAATTTTTCTTTGGTTTCTTTTTAGGTTTGCTATCTCATTACTATTATTTACATATTGTTTGTATTATCATTTTTCTTGACTTCATGTCTTCTTTTAGCTCTTTGGGCATCTTTAAGATGGCTGCTTTAAAATCTTTATCTAGTAGGTCTTTCTTCTGACCTCGGGTCAGTTTCTGTTGCTTTTGTTTTTCCTTTAAAGAGCCTACTTAATGTTTGCTTCAGAAGTTTCAAGTGAAAAGTGGATGTTGGGATTTATTAATGTGGAACTCTGGAAGTTAGATTCTTCCCTCTTGCCAAGATTTCCTGGTTTTTATTTTATTATTATTTTCATTTTGATTGTTGTAGGCTGTCTACATACCAAGGATCATTCTGAGGTATAAAATTAAGGTCTTCTCAGTTCTGTTCTGACCCTGTGCCTTTCCCTGGTATTTATAGTGACTTTCTAATTTCTTCCATATATGCAGTTGTTTGAATGTCCTAGACTTTGTCTGGCTCCCAAAAGGGAAAAAAAGACAAGTGAGTGGGGATAAAGGAAAAGTATCAGTCCTTTAAATTTTCTGGTAGTGCCTTTAGTTAAAGAGGGAGGGGTTTACAACTGTGTGTGTGTGTGTGTGTGTGTGTGTCTAACAATGGCTGTCCACCTCTATGTCTGTACCTCATCATTAGAAGTAGCACTCAGTGATCAGAGCACAGATCCCCAACATTTGGAGTACAGGGACCTTTCTGCACACTCTAGCTCCTGCAAGCTACACAGGAATTTCTCTAAGAATACATGCATGACAACATACTATGAGACTGGGGGCTGGAGGATGGGTAGCTACTACTTGGCTAAGATCTGCAACTGTATGAAATTATGTGTAGTTTTCTGTTCAAGCCTTCCCTGAGAAGATGTAAGCCTTCAGTACAATCTAGAGCTCCAAAATTGTTTCATTATGGTTCTGCCAATATATTTGTTGTCTAGGTGATGAGACAGGTTCTTGTTACTTCTTACTCCACCACCTTCCTGGAATCTTCTGGTAAAACAGTCTTTGACAACTTATTTACTGTACTAGGTTATGTATAGTTGGGGAAGTTGGGGCCCTGACTTACAGCATGGGGCATCACATAAACCTGCAATCAATACTGATGCTGTTTTTCTCATAACTGTAACATAAGAGCAGAGGAATTAGTGAATAGAAGTGGAAGGGGATCTCTTACAATTATATCTAAAAATGCACTTGCAGAATTTGTACTTTTTATTTCTGCAGTTGTAGCCACTTCTGATTTAGAGAACTTAGTTCCCAAGGGAGGAGCTCCAAAGGGTCATAAGAATAATTCCACTGAACTGGAAATTGGGATTGCTACTGGCCCACTTGGGTTTCTCATTTTACTGAGCCAATGGGCAGGCAAAAAGGGGCTTACTCTATTTGTTGAGTGACTGAAATTGACGCTGGAAAAGTAAATAGAATGATTGGTATGCCTTGAGGACCAAAAGAATATCTTTGGAATTCATGGAATTGTCTGGTACTCCTCTTAGAAAGTCCATGTCCTTTACCAAAAGTTACTAGAAAACCACAGCAACCTAATGAAAGCAGAACCTTTAAGGATGTATATTCTTTAGAAGTAAAGGTTTAGAATATCAAACCAGATAAGAAACCACTCCCCCAAAGATAAGAATAAAAGAAAGAAAAGAGCCCCAGCCAGCTGAGGTGCTAGATGAGGGTAATGGAACTTTAAATTTAACTTTAAATGGGACTTTGATTTTAAATAAAAGGATTTATAAATACCCACTATGACCTCCCAATTAAAATGATGGTAGCAACTATGAATATAGTTTTCTTCCTTATTTATTTTATGTGTATGTATGCATATGTTTGTATATTGCACACATAAATTGCTAGTAGTGACTGACTTTACAATGCAGTTTTTAGGTCATAAAATATCCATGAAGTTTGGAGTTTTTTTTTTTTTTTTTTTGAGATAGGGACTCACTATGTAGCCCAGGCTATCCTTGAACTTGCAATCTCCCTGCCTCAGCCTCCTGAGTGCTGGGATTACAGATGTGTACCACCATGTCTAGCACATAAATTTCTTTGAAAGACAAAATTAAATAATCCAGAGATGAATACAGTTAAGTGTTGGAACTATGTCTCAGTCATTTTTAGAGGACGAGAGTCTATAATATAAGAGGGAAAGTTCCTTCAAGTTAGGGAAAACATGCTGTGGTTGCCACTATTGTATAGAAGTTAAACAGAAAGAGGGAGAGTAGATGTTGGGGTTCCAAGTGATGGATGTGCCAGTTATCTGGCCATATGCTCTCAGCCTTTACTCCTTCCCTCTGTGCTGTGCTGTGTATGGCGGGGAGCTGGAGACACCTCCTTAACTACACTTCCCACACTGACTTTCCAACTGGTTTCCAGTGAGGTACTGCCAACAGAAGGGACTGGTTAGACTAGAAGGCAAAGCAGGAGGTGAAGCAACTCTCCTGCCTGGCTTCTGATAGCATTTTGGGCAGCAACAATGGCAATACTGACTAGGCTGGTGGAGGCTGAGGCAGCATATCTCCAGGAGATCTGTGATTACAGTGGTAACCTCTCTAAAAGTACAGCAGCAGGTACAGACTCAAGGTTCTGGTCCAGCAGTGTTAGCAGCTTCTGATCTCTGGGTATCAGTCCTTCTTCCCTTTGTTCTTTCATGCCCCATTCTTCATTTGTTCTTCTGGCCCTTCTAATACCTATGTAGCCAATTCCCTTTATTTGCCATTGGTGATACTGTAGAGGCACATACTGGAATATTTACAGATGAAATTATATGAGTCTGCTGAATTATGACTGGATTCATTTATGGCTGTATATACCTGAGATTTTTCTGAAGAATAATCCAGAGTGGGGTGTGTTAGACAAAACAAGATTCTCCATGCCTTCATAATTGTCAGGTAATAATCACTGGATAGGTACAGTGAAGTTCATTTCACTATTAACTCTACATGTGTTAGTCACTTTTTCCATCACTGTGACAAATATCTGAGAAAAACAACATAAAGGAAGAAATTACTTATTTTGGCTCATGGTTTCAATCATAGTCCTTGGTTCTACTGATTCTGGGCCCAAGGCAACAGAAGCATGAGGCAGATGTTACTCACCTCACAGTGGATAGGAAACAAAGAGAGTGAGATAGGAAGGGGGCAGGCACAAAATATCCCCAAGGACCCACCCTAGTGACCTATTTCCTCCAGCTAGACCTCACCTCTTAAAGTTTTCAGCACCTCCAAAAACAGTGCCACCAGCTAGGGACTTGGCCTTCAACATGTGAGTCTTTTGGGGAGGATACTTCATATTTAAACCATAACACTACTTTTTTATATATTTGAAATTTTCCATAATAAAATACCAATTATAGTCTTTCTCCATTAAGACTGAATTCCATCTATCTGCAATACCTCAAGTGGTTTTGTGAATCTGATATGTACCTTTCCATGAAGAAAGCCTGCCTAAGAATGAAGCCAATACAAAGGAAAACAAAGATGTGTATATGTGTTTGAGGGCAGAGATCAAGTGACAAAGAGGCAGAAGTTGCATACATGATCAAGAAATAGATACATACAGAGCCCTGACAACATCCTGGGTATCTGTATTCAGCTAAGTGAATCTAGCAGATTCACTTCAGGACTCTTCAGATACATGAGATAAGGTCTCACTATCTATATAGCCCAGGCTGGCATTGAACTTATTATCCTCCTGCTTCAGCTTCCCCAATGCTAGGATTATAGGTGTGCACCACAACACCTGGCTCATAAATTCCCTTTTTGTTTAAGCCAGTTTGAATTGGACTTGTTTCACTTGCAAACAAAAGAATCCTAACTAATGAAATCCCAAATACAACAATCAGTACTGCAATCCCAGCCTCTTTGAACAACTGTCAAATTGCCGTCACCACTATGATTTCCATCATGGCAGCGAACATTATAACCAGAACTTTTACCATTACCATCTCTAAACTGATCAACATTTGTTTACTTCTTGCTGTATGCAAAGCAATGAATCCTTAGCTAGGCACTTCAGACCAGAAATAAGTATGACAGAGTCCTTCCTTCAAAGAGCTCAAGACCTATTTGGAGAGACTATATATACCATCCATCTACCCACCTAGTATAAAGATAAGTACATGTTTATGAGGCATAAGTCTCAGAATATGCTAAGCACTACACTAAGCAGGCAAACAGTCAACTCATCTGATGCTTAGAGAAGGAAGGGGCCTGAGCTACAGCAGTCAAAGAAGGCTTCTGGTGGAGACACAAGAGAATCTGAACTAGGCTTTGGAATGTGGACAGAATTTAAATGAGAAGACATGATGATCATGAGTTTGGTCTCTAGAGTTAGACAAATTTGATTGAAATCCAGGCTGTGCCACTGACTAACTTTGTAACTTTGGGGAAGTTATTTAACTTGTCTTTGCCTCAATTTCTTCATCTAAAAAATTATGATAATGATAGGATACCTACCTCATAGAACTGCTGTAAGAACTAAATGAGCTAACATATGTAACGTGCTGATAACTGTATCTGGCAAATAATAAACAATACATATATGCTATTATTCAAAGGAAGGTGCAGCACACTCTGGCCGGAAGAAATAGTCTCAAAAAAGGTGCACAGTGGGAAAGTACAGAGCTAATTTAGAGACCAGAAAATAGACTGAGCTGGAGAAGATGGCTCATCTGGCACTAGCAATGTTTACAGTTCACAAATGACCAATCAGAGGCAGGGAAAGTAGGTTGCCAAACACCTAGGTCTTTTTTAACAGCACACAGGAAGGTGGGGGCACCCATCTGAATCCTTTCCTGGGAGCTTTAGTACATGACATTATCCTGGCTTTGAGCACTTACATCCTATCTTTATGGTATTTTCAAGTCACTCTGAACCATTTCTTTAGCTACTGGTATCCAAACAAGGCTCTGAGGGAACACACAGGACAGACTTGAGAATGTAAACTTACTGCTCTGTAACAGCCAAACTGGGTGGCAAGGAGGTAAGCCCATTGCCAGTGAGGGCAGGGGACACGTAGGTGTGGCAGATCCCCAGATCACAAACGGCCTCTGTAGTCAGGCTATTGAAGGAAAGGTCCAAGAACTACAGTGCAAAGACAAAAGATGAGGGAATTGATCAATGTGTGTCACAACAATGCTCAAGACTTGAGGGTGGGCTGGCTACATTTTCCCCTTAGCTTTTCGGAAAGCCCCATAACCCACAGGATAAACCCTTCCTGAACTGGCACTCAAGGCCTAGTGGAGTCAGTTCCATCTATCTTCAAGCCTTACCTGCCCACTACACATCTGTCTCCTTTGTTGAAGGAAAGGTCCAAGAACTACAGTGCAAAGACAAAAAGATGAGGGAATTGAATCAATGTGTGTCACAACAATGCTCAAGACTTGAGGTGGGCTGGCTACATTTTCCCCTTAGCTTTTCGGAAAGCCCCATAACCCACAGGATAAACCCTTCCTGAACTGGCACTCAAGGCCTAGTGGAGTCATTCCATCTATCTTCAAGCCTTACCTGCCACTACACATCTTGTCTCCTTTGTGCTGGCTCAATGGTCTCTCATCCCACCTATCACTCCCTGCTTGTGCTTTCCAATTAAACAGGAATGTCCTTCCTACATGCATCAGAATCTGAGACTCGAAAAAGGCCAACCCAAAGTGCCCCACTTAAAAACTCTTTCCTTATCCACAACCAGATGGAATTGCTTCCTCTCCTGACTGAAGTGCTTATATCTAAACAGCCCCAAGGGTACTTATCAGATATGCCAGGTACCTGAGACAGATGGACACATATGTGAGGAAAAAGGATACTGGTATTGAAATATGCCTTGTAAAATAATGTGGCACGCACCATGGAGGACAGACCACAGGCCTTGAGATCAAGGACTATGCCACTGTTAACACTATATCCTTGTAGCCTAGCATAGGAGTGGGCACAAAGTAGTGCACATAAAAACAGCTGAAGTGAGTTGGCTTATAATGACAGTGGCCCCAACATGGTCACCCTATCATCAACTAGCTTCTGATTGGCCATCTAGATTCCTAAGATAGTTGACTGGGTCAAGGGGCCAGGCCAAGAACTGAATTTCTCTCTTTAATGACAAAGGCACTTTGGGACAAACATCTGCCCAATCTCTGTCCTCTCTTTCCTAAACTTCTCTAGACGCTCATTTTAGCTCCTCTATATACAGCAGCATCCTTTCCTGTATCCCCTACTTCTATATGCTTCCCCACACCCTGCCATGCACACACAGTGAAGCCTACTGAATGAGGTGTGAAGATCTAGCATCCAGCACAACTATGGCAGCAACAAGGTCTCTGGTTCAGCCTCATTCAATGCACATAGCAGAGACTATTACACACGTAGTTCACTGCCCAAGAAAGGACTACGTTTGTCTCACTTGTGTAATGAACTGATGGGATCTGAAGATCTGGGTTTATATTCTGGCTGTATTGATTTGACTTAATCTGGGCCCTTATCTATAAGTAGAAAAGTGACTCTTATTGTTATAAAGCCTTTAGCCTGGAGTCTGATACACAGTTACTGCTTACTTAATGTCTATCATCATACATCATAATCCTTTCATTCATCACTCCCAGTTTGAAAGCTTACTTTGAACCAGTTCCTGTATACTGGGAGCTCCCGCCTCCTCAGGTAGCTATGTACACCCCACACACACCACACACACCACACACACCACACACACACACGCACGCACGTAATGCCCCTGGGACAGATGCTGACGCACACCCAATGGGGTGCAAAGAAGAATGGTCAGTCACTGGGGGTAAGGGCAGGTTCACAGAGCCAAGCTGTCTTTAAGGACTAGCAGGTATTCACAAATTGTTAAGGGCAAAAAAGACATTCAAGTGATTAAGTGCAGTGAGCAGGAGCAGGAGGGAGGACAGAGCAGGATGCAGCCTCACTTGTTCTGAGAACTCTAAGTAGTTTGGATATCATGAAGCCTTGTATAGGAGAGGGCTTGATAAGGACTGACCAGGCCACAAAAGTCACCAAAGCACCAAAGTTGTGCTGATTCCCATGCCACCATCAGCAAACTGAGGGTTCTCAAAAGAGGCAATCCCACTTGGCTGAGCAAAGAGAGGAGAAGGGCTGACAAGTCGGTTCAATAAACACAGGTAAGTCTGTGTCTCTTTCATTCTAGCCACACTGCACTATTTTACCAGTGTTGGAGCTCAGGAGTCAGGAAAACCAAGGTCGGAAAGCCAAATCTGCTGATGCCTAATTTGTATAACTAGTGACTAAGAATGACTTTCATATTTAAGAAATAAAAGTAACAAGGAGTTTTACATGTGGAAATTTGATGTGAAATTTTAATGTCTGCATCATAAAGGTTTATTGAAAGACATCCATCTCACTGCCGCTATACTGTCTACACTGCCTCCAACAACAGCAAGATCCTATTAGTTATGACAGTTAGACATAATACTATAACATAACTACTATAACAAAGACTAGGATTTACTTCTTTGCCTTTTACAGAAAAAGTTGTGGACCCCTATTCTAGTTGCTTGGGGGATAAGCTGCTGAATTCCAATTGTGCTTTCCATGGAATAAGGGCAGCTCAATGAAATGAAGTCTTAGAACTCACAGGTCACAGAACTTCAGAGTGGATCCAGAATTTACAAAGAGAAAAATTAAGTTCTAGAGAGGGCAAATGTTTGGCCATGGAAGCATGCAACAGAGTACTGGCATCACCGTAAGACTAACAATAAGGTCTCTTCTGACTGCCAGGGCAGAAATCCAGCTGAAGAAAATTTTCAAAATCTGTAGGCACGAGAAGATCAAATCGTAGCAAAAGTTAAAGTTTTTCTAATTGACTTCGTGAAACAATTCTAAATATGTTGCTGTATTACCCCTGGAGCAGCCTTTCCTGACCATCAAGGACAGAAGATTCCTAACCTGGCTACTATAGCTGCTGAGTCACATCAGTTTGATTACAATCAAAGGTATCATTACTGTGAGCTGCAAATCCAGGATATTTGAGAGTGTTTAGCTTTATTCATGGGAGCCCTTGCAAATCATTAAAGACATGAAACAAAGCATAGTCCAGAATTGGTCTTTTTCTTATTTTGTTGTGCATCCTAATTGGACTATTCACTTTGATAAGGGTGGTTATTGCTAGATAAATAATCGCATCAGATGTTTTCCAAAGAAAGCAGGATACACAAAATATCAACTCAGATTCAACTTTTAGATCCCAAGCTAGTTGGCTGTGGGGTCACAGTGCTGTGGTAATGTCCTCTCTCCAGGCCACTGGTACTTGAAATTAAGGTTTGGAATAGTTGGGGGAACAAGACAAGATGCCTGGCACAATGCACAACACACAAGAGCTCAATGAATTTCTCTGAAAAAATAAATGGAAGTCTTTAAGAGGCTCCTAGGTCTAGAGTAAAGAGGATAGCTCTGGATCTCTATTTCTAGATCCATTCCCCACCATCTATGCTAACAATCTACTACAAAATTGCTATGTTAACATAGCACCAAACAGTGCACTCAGTTGTTGTAAATTTACTTCTCCCAATTTTATAGGATTTTTGAAGCTGTTTCCTGGACCACTCCTGTCCCAAATCATACTAAATTTCTGTTATCTTCTAAGTGACTTAAAACTGAAGGGAGCAGTTACCATTACAAAGAATGTGAGGACAATATGATCTGTCTTTAGGAGAGGTGGCCATTCCAAGACGTTAAAGCTTCTTAAAACTCTGGCATGTAAAGGCCATCAACTGTGAAACAGTCAGTCTGGTGGAAGGTCCCTCTCTCTGCAAGATCAAGTTAAGTGGGGCTTGTATGAAGAACAGTTGACCCTGGATGATTGTAGATTAGATTGTTTAAGTTACCAACTCTATGGAGCTACCCCAAGGCTCACATGCAGACATTTTGCTAAGGTGTGAATGGGTAACACTTTAAGGCTGGCATGTGGGAAGGGTCCATTACTCAGTGAGTGAGCCTGGTCAGGTGCCCAGCCCCACTCCAGGCTCTATCTGTGGTTGTGTTCTACTCCATGCATGCAGTGACTTTCAGGTAGCAACAAGAGCTTATTCCTTCGTGAAAAGTTGCCCTCAAGTCTTTCATGAAAAGTTGAAGAGGTAATTAACTTAGAACTATGAGAACATGAATGGAAAATGTATGATTATGGGAATTTAATTTAGGAGAAATCAGAAATGCAAACAAAATCTGTATTTTTGAGTCTGGGGTTTGGAGAACAGTTGTGGATGTACATGTGTCCTTAGAGTCTGCTATAGAACTCACAGGAGCCCAATTTTATTTTATCCTCATTCTTGGCCTAACCCAGCCCACTGGACTGATTCAGTTCACCCAGACCAGGATGGGTCTTTGGCATACGTCCATAATGTCACTAGTTCAGCTGGTTCACATCTGCTGTATTTAGCTCTTAATCTCCACGGCTCTCCAACCCTCACTGGACCAGATCTCTCTCACAAACTCTCTCTCCCATGACAGTCTTTTTTAACTCATTTTCTACATACTTCCTTTAACATGAATGACCCTTGGCATTATTTTTCAGGACATGCACCATGGACAGAGGTATCATCTACCTGATGCCACTGCTATAACTATCATCACCATTCCCATCACCACCAGTACCATTTACCGACCATACCCCCACCATCAATTACAACCATCACCACCAGCTCCCTGTAGTCAGCCATGAAACAAAGGCCTGGCTATAAAGGCCTAGAGAGCCCCTTTCCAAAAGGTATGATCTCTTTATAGGGGAGCAGGGGACAAAAAAACTCCCTCTCCAACTTACTTGCAATGGCTTAAAATCTCCATATTTCACATAGACTGTCTTGATGCCATTGAATGCAAGCCCAGTTCCTTTAAAGCCGTAAATGTGTGAAATGCCTCTACATAGGAAGAGAAAGAGAGAAGGTGCAGCTGCAAAGGACTTAGGAAAATATTACTAATGACCATTCACTGGTTCCCACTGTGTCAGGCCAGGCACTGTGAATAGTGCTTTACATACATGGCCTCTAAATCTCTAACAATCCTTGCAAATAAAGATTGCTACTTTCATTCTACGGCTGAGGAAATAGGTTAAAGTGATTTGCTAAACTGAAATTGCAGGTAAGTGGAAGAAATAAGAATTGAATCTAAGTCTGCCCAACTGCAAACCCATTTGAAAATTATCTATTTCTGATTACAAAGTTAAAAACATGCCCACCAAAATAGTTCAACATCACAGAGAAACAAAAGGTCCCTTTAATCTCAATACCAAGAAATAACTGTTAAAAAAAGTATCATGTTTATGCATGTTCACACCCCATACTTTTCTCATGTGTATATTGAATATACACTCTTTTTACCAAAGTGGAATCACTGGACTGGAAGTGTGGCACAAGCAGTACAGTTTGCCTGCCTAGCAAACGTAAAGCCCTGAGTTCAAACCCTATATAACTGAAAAGAAAACAAACAAAAAAAGGAATCATACTTACATGTTGTCTTGTTTTTTGAAGGGGCAGTACTGAGGTTTGAACTTGGGCCTCATACTTGCCAAGCAGGCACTTTACCCCTTGAAGCCATGACCCCAGCCCTTACACATTGTATTTGACTTGCTTCCCCTCCCCCATTTAACAGCATGACAGGAAGAGTCTATGTTAATACATACAACATCTGTCTAGTACCTTAATTATATTCTAGCAACTAGACATTCCCCCTATTGATAGCCTTTAGGCTATTTGGATAAAAGGAAATCAAACCTTTCCCTCTGCAGGAGAAGTGATCTTAGCTAGTTCTATGCCCTGTTTCCCTGAAACAAATGCTACGGTAACTATGTTACTAGGTAATTACTGCTATGGTAAAAATGACCTTCAATTGGTAAATTGCATCTGGACCAGGAGAAACTATGTATCAATCATATAATATGTGTCCTTCATGAAAACTCTAGGAGCTATGTGTCTGGAGTTTTACAAAGGACACTGGTTCCTATGGGCAATGAAGTTTTAAGCTAGGATGGCTTCTGTATTTACTGAATGAGAACTCATTGTCTTATACCTCAGGTGATCTCTGTGGGGCCCTAGAGAATAGCTCATGGATGGCTAGATGGACTGCTAAATGGTTGCTGTGAGGACGCCACTGAAGAGGAACTCCTGATACTATGCTCCTGGCACAATGTATGGAATTACTTGGAACCTTTTAAATGAACCAGGTGTACATGTGGTCTACAATATGCTTGTGAGTCAGAATGTTCAGCAAGAATAATAAAAATACCTGGTGGTATTTCAGATATCCCAATGAACTTCCTAGCATAAGTGTTTCTACAGAATAAATTCCTAGAAGGAGAACTACTAAATTAAAGGCAATGACAACTTTTACATTTAGCCGGGCACCAGTAGCTCATGCCTGTAATCCTAGCTACTTGGAAGATGGAGACTGAAGAACTATGGTTTGATGCCAGTCCAGGCAAATAGTTTGTGAGACTCTATCTCCAATTAACAGAGCAAAATGCATTAGAGGAGTGGCTCAAGTGGTAGAGCACCTGCTTTCAACTGTGAAGCTCTGAGTTCAAAACCCAGTTTCACCAAAAATATTTTTAAGAGACACTGTCAAAATATCTCCAAGATATCACATCAATTTATTTTATTATACTTCCACGTTGAATACAAGTGGTTCCATTTCAAAGTGGCTGGCATCAGGCTTTTCATTTTTGCCAATATTTGACAGAAAATAGTTTCTTAGTTGCTGAGTGAGGCTGAGTATCTTTTCACATGCCTATTGGCCTTTGCATGTCAAGCCAGCTCCTAATAGGCCAATGTCTTCTCAAGGGTAGGGACCTCAAAAAACCAAAAATCGTATGTTTCTCCCTCATATGTGGACATTAGATCAAGGGAAACAACAAGGGATTGACTATGAGCACATGATAAAAGCGAGAGCACACAAGGGAGGGGTGAGGATAGGTAAGACACCTAAAAAACTAGCTAGCATTTGTTGCTCTTAACGCAGAGAACTAAAGCAGATACCTTAAAGCAACTGAGGCCAATAGGAAAAGGGGATCAGGTACTAGAGAAAAGGTTAGATCAAAAAAATTAACCTAGAAGGTACACCCACGCACAGGAAATCAATGTGAGTCAATGCCCTGTTAGCTATCTTATCTCAACCAGCAAAAACCTTGTTCCTTCCTATTATTGCTTATAACTCTTCTACAAAAAATTAGAATAAGGGCAAAATAGTTTTCTGCTGGGTATGAGGGGGAGAGGGAAGGGACGGAGTGGGTGGTAAGGGAGGGGTGGGGCAGGGGGGAGAAATGAACCAAGCCTTGTATGCACATATGAATAATAAAAGAAAAAATGAAAAAAAAAAGGTAGGGACCTTATTAGATGCTTCTTTAAAAATACCCTCAAAATAACTGTGACAAAACAGAGTTCATCCCAATTTCTCTTATTGCCCCTAACTCGTCTCGGTGACACACCCTCGATTCCTCGTTCTTCCATATCCCCACAGGATATGGAGACCCCTATGATTTCTACTTCCTTCTGAATCATTCTATCAGTACCTTTACTTTCTCTCATGGCTAGAATCCAAGCCTCATTCCCTCCTCTGGAAAATGAAATGATCTCCCAGATTCCTGACTTCCATCTTCTTCCTCTCCTCCTTTTCTGATGGCCACTACTGAGATTCCCTACTTAAAAGCTCTCTAAGACTGTCTTGCCTGCAGGATTAAGTCCAAGTCACTTAACATCTTGAATGATCAGTCCTATCACCTTTACCTACTCTAAATTCTCTTTACAAGTGTCCCTTGTAGCACCCAGAGCCTCTTTAATCCTAACTAGGCACTGACATCTCAACATCTGCTCCACTGTCCTGAAATACCTTTTTACCTTCTAATTCCTGAGTTAGTCCTATTATTTATTTTGGTTCAAAGCTTAGGTGTATCTTGTTCAGAAGTTCCTCCCAACTCTTCAGTCTGGGTTAAAGTCCCACTTTATGCCTGCATAGCGTTCCAGATTCCCTCTATCACTATTATTCTGTATCCTGCTCTGGTTGTCCTGTGTCTGCGTCCATCTTTCCCACCAAAACACAAGCTAGCAGAGCAGGAATTAGACACACTCCTTTCTAAAGACCACACAGTCTCATATCAACACCAGCAGGGGTCACTGTGGATTTGCTGAAAACTGAGAAGTCTTTCTCCTCCATGAGCATTTATAAACATCTACCCTTCTGGGTTTGCAGGTAATTCTAAGGGAGAAGAAGGCATCCCCATTTAAGAGAAGTGCAGCTCACAGAGAAATGTACTAAGTAGGAAGTTCCAGCATGAGCTGAGTTGAGGTCATGTTCTCAGTCTGTTACACTCCTCAAAAGAGATGAGTGGTCAATCGTGCATGGACTGACAGACAAACCCTCACAAGTGAATGCTATGCCATGCAGGAGACAGATTGTTTTCAAGAATAAAAAGCTCACTAGAGGCAGCAGGTTTTCTGAGGCATGATATAAATCACAGAACTAAAATGCTTGAATCCTTTTCCTTCGCCTGTAGAAGGCATTTCAGAAAAAACACAAGATTAGTTCTCTGCCTGGAAGCCTTGCTGAAGCCCAGAAGCTGCTGCCAGAAAGAACAAAGACCTAAGGATAAGAGACATCCTTAATGCAAGAGCATCCATGTGTTGAAGCTGTAAGGATTTCCTGCTTATTTTTCTACTATGAAATATTTCACGATTACAGAAAAATATATTGAATGTAATCCTGAAAATTCATGCAACCATTATCCAATTATAATAAATAAGAATATTTCTCCTGTCTTTGTGTGAAAAAAAATTTTTTTTTTGGTACTGGGGCTTGAACTCAGGGCCTTCACCTTGAGCCACTCTACCAGCCCTATTTTTGTGAAGGGTTTTTTGAGATAGGTCTCGCGAACTATTTCCCGGCTGGCTTGAAACCGGCGAATCCTCCTGATCTGCCTCCTGAAGTAGCTAGGATTACAGGCGTGAGCCACCGCGCCCGGCTTTTGCTTGAAGTTTTGTAAAGAAAGAAACCTTAGAAACTTGACTACCACCATCACCCCTCATATCACCTCTCCAGTCCCATAATAGCTATCTTGAATTAGTGACCATCATTCCCATTCCTTTTTTGTACTTGTATTATATACGAACACACGCATATGTATGTATACCATTAACCATGCAGTGCTGTTTACATGCTTTAAAACTTTACATTAAATCATCATATGCAGGTCTTCTGCAATCTGCCTTTCTAGTCAACAGTAATAATGTCAGACAGGGAATTAAATTCCCAAAATTCAAAGGCAAACTCAAAGCTAGATTTCTAAGGTGAGTTCCTTTAATTCATGTCAAATGGGACAACGGCAATACCAAACCAGTAGCAAAAGTTTGTGTCTCAGTGTTGTCTTCACCTAGTGAGTTCTTGTCTGACTCTTCCCTCCCTCCTTCCATGTGACTGTGGTTCCAATCACCAGGAAATACGGAGGTGCAACACATAAACCAGAAGAGTCAGGTGCCCCTCAGGTCTCGCTCATCTCATCTTTGCCATTGGCCTTACCTTAGATAACTTCAGACCACTCACATTGACACTGCAAAGGTCTGACGGCTTCCTTACACAGTGATGCTTCAGCTGGGACACAGAACACAGAGTTAGTGCTCAAAGACTCAACAAAATATAAGTAATTAAGCTATTTTTGATCATTATCATCTTGTTGGGCAATCTCATACACTTGTCATGTGTTTGCTTGCTTATTCATTTATTCATTATTCATTTATTCTTCTGCCAAATCAATATTTACTGAGTACGACTTTGTCAATGCACTAAGTAGTTAAATACATTAACAGACTTTCTCCTAACTAAATTCTTCGACATAAGTAGATTATCACTTTTTTTCTCTTTCTTCTTCTTCTTCCTTTTCTTTTTCAGTGCTGGGGACCAAACCCAGAGCCTCACACATACTTGGAAGTGTTGTACCATTGAGTTAAATCCCTCTCTATTTTTCAATGAGATTAAGGTAGGTTAAGTGCCTATCTAATAATTGATAGATTTATGACTTGAATTCAATTCTGTGATTGCAGAATTGCACCTTTGCCTACCATATGTCACTCCACACATACAAAATAAAGACTTAGCAAGTCTAAGCTTTGGAGTTCTATTTATGTTTAATGAAACTCATTCCTTTGCCCTTTTAACTATTTGTGGTACCTGTTATATTTAAGCTTTGAATGAAGCACTGGGAAAATGATGGAGAAAAATCAAAAGCATTTCATGACTTCATAGAGCTTCCACTCTCATGGGAAGTCAAGTGTCAAGTAATTCTTTAAAAACACAAGTGTTTTAAAGAAAAATTCAAGATCCTATGAAAAACAGTAACAGAAGGCCCTAAACTCAGTTTGCAAATGAGGAAATATTTACTGAAGGAAGTGACATTTCAGGAGAGACCTATAAACTAATGGGAATTGGTCCCAGGAAGTTGGTGGCAAGGATTATGAAGGTTTCCTAGGCAGGAAAAGAAAAGTTGCTTTTGAAAGGATGACAAATAAGACAAAGTTAAAAAGGCAGTTGTTACACCATGTGGGTCTATGTTGGCTCTGATCAGGAGTGTGAATTTTATCTTACAATCAACAGACAGCTGACAGAGATCTTTATAAACAAGACCGAAGAGCAGTTTTGTAAAAATCACTACATCTGATATACATAAAAAGGATTGAAAGTCAAGAGAGACCAATGTACCAGACATTGTTAATTATCTTCCCAATAATCACTTCTCTACTCCCCTGGTAAAGACGACCAATGTTATTTACTTTTCTCCAGATGGACATGTTCTAAGCCCCAGCTCTAAGGCATAAGTCTTGACCTGTCTAAGCCTGGCTAATGAGACACTGGCTGAGAGTAGGGGTGGGTGACCTGTTTGGAAAAATGCTTTCTTCAAACATAGAGATAAGACAGTGACAAGTCCTTCTCTACTTCTGATTATTAGCCTCTATATGTGATGATCAGAACTGCTGTAACCATCTCAGATCATGAAGACAATCAGCACAAGAGGACAACTCAACATGCTGAGTTAACAGAGCAGAAAGATGGAAAGAAACTAAGCCTTAGAAAATGTTATTAAACCCATAAATTAATCTATCCTAACCAATACCTCTGGCTTCTTTTTATGTGAATAAAAGCATCGTAGATACAAGCTAGTTAGGAAGTTACCAGATTCATCCAATAAGAGATGATGGAGGCCAATTTAAGGGTAGTGGCAGTAGAGATGAGAAAAAGACAGATTTGGTAACTAATAAGTGTCAGAACTTGGTAAAGGTAAGGGACAGTGAGGGAGAGGCAAGAATAAAATATAATACCAGATTGCTGGCTTGGTGACTGGATAGATAGTAGTGCCATATAGAGACAGTATAGTAAATACTGGAGAAAAGCTATGTTTTGGGACTTGGAACAGGGGGATTGGTGTAGGAGTTCAATGAATTTGCTATTAGGTGCCAGTGAACCTTTCAAGTGGAACTATCCAACAGGCAGAGTGAATATATCATCACTCTGAAAACATCCTTATAGCTTCTTCCACCCAAAGTGGAAACATGGGTAAGAAACCATACCAATTAAATGCAGAAATGTATATGTATAGTCGACTCCCAGTATTTGCTGGAAATTGGTTCCAGAACCCCAGAATCTCTGGATATGGAAATGCAGGATCAAATATATTTGGAAATAAGGAGAAAAAAAGAGCACTACGGAAAGTGTTTCCGCCCTGCCTCAGCATTGTTGTTTCAGCTCTCCTCACTCCTAATGAGCAGTGGACATAAAATGGAACAACTTCCACAGGCTCTGCAAAACCTAGTACTTCTCACTTGAGATGAAATGAAATCAACAAAGTTCTCCTGCAACCTCCCATCTATGCAGACATCCATCTCTTGGGAACCATAAGCAGAATCTGGAACAAAGGAGGCTGCCAAATAATTCTTCTCAGAGAGCAGTGAGAATCAGGCTGTCCATTAATATTGATTTACAAAATGTGTCTTTCTTTGCAAAGCCACTGAAACATTGCATAGAGCAGATGTGAAACTATCTGGCTGGTCTCCAACCCAGCCATACCAGCTTTCTTCATAAAGGCTGCCCCAAGTGCTCAGCTCCTCTGACTTTTAGCCAGATGCTAAAGCCAGTGGGCAGAGGCTGTGGGAGAGCAGGACCTCCCCAACTCTACCAGCTCCCAGAGAAGTCACCCCAGAGCATAGCAGAGTAGAGTAGAGCACAGCAGGAATCTCTCCACCTTCCTATACTCTGGAATAGGATATATATTTGACTGTTTCCCCCCCAACTACTCTTTTGCCTCTCCAACTCAAGCAAGCATTTTTACTTCATATTACATAAAGATATAGGTTTTAGAATTAGTAGACCAGATCACTAATGCTGACCCAGTCATTTATTGGCTTTAGGCATCAGGCAAGGCAATGATCTCTCAGATCCTCATTTTTCTCAATGTGCTCAATGGTAACAATATAATAAGGATGACAATACTGTATCAGTTTCACAAGGTGGGTGTAAAGAAGGCTTACATGTGGAGAGTTTGGGGGCCCTCATCATCCCAGCTGTTCTCAATTTGCCAACATCACTTTTGTGTCAGGAGAAGAGCAGAACAGGGTAGTCCTTGTCCCGCCCCCCCCCCCATAGCTGATGCTTCCAGCTACTCCAGGATGCATTTATTCTTACCAGAAAAGCCTGGTCCAGGATGTGTCCAGTAATGTCTACTTGGCTTTCCTGCTGAGATGCCTTCCTCCCCCCAGTCTCAAAAGAAACTTTCTTCTCGCTTTCCTGACCTTTAGCAGGTGCCTCAACCACACTCTTAGGCTTCCTCTTAATGCTACCTTTCTGAGTCACTAACCAGTGTCCTCGGCCTGTTGGGAAGATCAGAACAGTAAGAAGGGGTAAACTCCTCTAAAACTTAATGAATGCAATTATAGAATACTTATCTATAAGAAACAGCTCCTGATTACTTATACACACCAAATGCTGCACTGCTACTGGGTGGTATCTACATATCTAAGTCATTTAATTGGCCCCCAGGGACCAGTAAAGGATATGTTACTGACCTCATTTTACAGATGAAAAGGCTTAGACTAGAAAAGGTGGAATATCTTGCTCAGTTCCTTCCTTCACATGTCTATCTCCAAACTCTATTTTTCCTTCAAGACCCCATCATCAAGAATTTTATATTCTGTGAAGTCTTCCCTGATCTCCCTCAGTAGAGCATATCACTCTTTCCTATGCCAGCTAGTTACTTTTCCATTGGTCATCTCTTGGGTAAAGCATGTGACCTCAACTCAGTGGGCTCCATCTTCCCAGACCTCCATCATTATAGGGAAAAGGTTGTTAGGAACTCAGAATAAGAAAGTGATAGGAGGGCTGGAGATGTGGCTTATTGATAGAGTGCAAGGCCCTGGGTTTGAGGGAGGGAAGGAAGGAAGGAAGGAAGGACGGACAGAAGACGGGGGATGAAGGGATGGAGGGAGAAGGAGATAGAAGTTACTAAAAATACATGCTCATTGTAGAAAATACTACAAAATTTATGTCGGCAAAAAACATATGATGTTTACTATTGTCCATCTGAAAAAAGCATGATGACATTCTGGAACCTGTTCTCTCTTGCATTAGCAGTTTATCTACTGATGACATTCACTGAAATCTATATTTTAGTTATTCACTATTTGTTATCTAATTCCCCTTCTAGAGTAGGAGTTCTGTGACAGCAGAGACTTTGTCCATTAATTAATCTCAGTATTCCCAAGGCCTGTACAGAGTTCACCACATTGTGATTATTGCTGAATGAATGACTTAGTGAACTCTGAGTTATGACCTCCACCCACATGATCATTCATTCCGACCTTTTCTGAGCATCCACTTTGTGCTGGAACCTGAGACTATGGGAATGAGTAAGACAGAAGCCTCAAAAGTTCAATAATACATAGGGCTATGGAAGCCCAGAGGAAGGAGCTACCAGCCTAGGGCATGAGATGGATGTTGAATGTTTACTTGGTGGAGACTGAAAAACAAGCAGTTTGGACAGAGGGAACAGCAAAGTAATACCCAGAGGAATTGAATACCAGGACCAAGCAGAATAGCATGGGAATAGCTGTGGGAATCGCCCCTGCCTCTAACCACTGGCTCTCTTCTGGAACAGCTTCTTGGATGGAGTTTCTTTCCTGTGTCTTACGTGAGCCATTTCCCATTCCACTCTGCCTGACAGTCCAGGTACCCCACTGCTCCAATCTAGAGCATGGACTTTGGTTCCCCTTTATCCTATCCTCACATCCCTGACTCCTGGAGACTCCAGTCTGAGTTGGTGCCAAAACCCTCAACATGGCCAGGAGGAAAGGCTCAGAGTATGTGTCAGGAGAACAATGTGAGGACAAAGGGATGAAGCTGGAGAGGTCAGGAGTCAGACTATGAGAGGTCCTGAACACAAGAAGGGTTATAATGGGGTAGGCTTTTATCAGGAAGAAGATCTTTTTTTAATACATAGTTTTTCATTTTGAGATAATTTTGGAGCTCCAGAAAAGTTGCAAAAATACTGCAGATCTCCATATAGCCTTCACCCAGTTTCCCTAATGCTAACATCTTACATAATAATAATGTAATTATTGAAACCAAGCAATTAACATTGGTATAATATCAGTTACTAATCTCAGCCCTTCTTTGAAATTTGCCAGTTTCTACACTAATGTCCTCCTTCTGTTCCAGGATCCAATCTTGGATCTCACATTACATTCATCTGTCATGGTTTCTCAGTCCGTTTCAATCTGTGTGACAGTTCCTCCATCTCTTTTTCTGATACTTGTAAAAAATACTTGTCAATTACTTTTATAAAATATCTATCAATCTGAACTTCTTTGAGGCTTTCCCATGATTTGATTGAGACTTTGCACTTGGCAAAGCTACCATAAAAGTGAAGCTGTGCTTTCTCAACATATGATTTCAAACAGTTCATAAGGTCATTATACCTTATTTTTGGTGATGTTAATTTTTTTTTAAGACAGGGTGCCAAGCTGGGTTCAAACTTATATTAAGAAACACAGGCAGAAAGATATACAAAAGGTTAAGACTGGGGTAGGCAGATGGTCTGCTGGAAAAAGTAGAAGAGTGGAGTTTCATGGATGGGAAAAGTCTGGCTAACTAGAATGAAGGTTGGAACACTCAGGGCAAATCAAGAAGCTATGTGAAAAAAGAACACTGTGGAATGAAGCATCAATAAAGGAATGGGACTGTAGCAGAAAATGTCAGGTTAGATTGTGAATGACACAGAATGCTGCTAAAGGAATCAGCAATGAGAGTCCACTGGACAGCATGAGACACTGTGTTGAATGTGCAGTGTACAAGTCCCACTGAGGTTGCTGTGAGGGGATGTGGGAGGCGACAGATTGGGTGACACAGGAGGGACCAGTAGTGAAGGGCCTAGAGAGGAATACATGGATGTGAGGAACATGTAAAACAGGAGCTGAATATGAGGAAAAGGTATGGATTTCAAAGTCATCTGACCTTCCTCTGGTATCCGAAGCAGGCTTTTGGCTGGAAAGCAGTTACTCAGGTGAGGCTTCCCATCATCCAGCTTGTAGATTCCCGAAGAGGCCATCTCCCTAAGGGTCAGCAAACACAGTGAGAAGTCAGAAGAGTGAGAAGGCACAGCAGCGCTCTCTCCCCAACACAGCTCATGAGCCAACCAGGACCACAGCGCCCTGTACACACCCTGCTTCTATGGCCCCAGAGGACCCTTGTCCTGCTTCAGAAATAGGCTGCCTAGATGAAGAGAGAGACAAGATCCTGGGCTTTCCAGCTCAGATGATCAGTTCTAATTCATTGGAATACTAGAAAGACCGCTGCCTTCAGGCTCAGACAGACCTGGTTTGAACACTGGTTCTAGCTTTACTTGTTGTGTGACTGGGCAAGTTACTCTACCCTTTAGAGGCCCAGTTTCCTCACCTATAAAATCGGGGTAATAATTCTACCTTAACAGAGGAATGAGAGGATCAAGCGAGAAAGGCAGCACCAAGCACATATTTTAGTGCTCACTAGGAGTTTCTGTTTTAACAGAGTTCAGAGAAAAGGAGGCTCATATTTTAGGGCAGATGATGTGCAAATAATGAGCTCTGAACTGAATAAATTGGATTTGAGGGAGGAATTGATACCGATCAAGAAAATAAACACTTCAAACAGAAAGGGCTACACGACTGAGGGCATGGTGGTGTACAGCAAACCAACCAACCAGACCCAGGAAGAGGAAGGATGTGGTGTGGGGAGTCCTGGACCATAAGACTAGACAGGAAGGATGGTACCTGTTCCTGAAGGGTATTTGGTGTCAGCCTAGGAATTCAGGTTTCATCCTGTAGATGACAGGGAACCAAGGACAACTTCTGAGCTGGGGACAGATGTGCTTTATTTATTTTTTTTTTCTGGGGGTACTAGGGTTTGAACTCAGGGCCTCATGCTTGCTGGGCAGGTGCACTGCTACTTAAGCCATGCCCCTAAGTCCTTTTTGCTTTAGTTATTTTTCAAATAGGGCCTCCAGGTTTTTTTGTTTTTTTTTTTTTTTTGCTGGACCACAACCTTACTTATGTCTTCTGTGTAGCTGGGATGACAGACACATGCCACCACACCCAGGTTTTTCTGTTGATGGGATCTTGCTAACTTTTTTGCCTGGGTTGGTTGGCATCAAACAGTGATCCTCCCAATCGCCACCTTTCGAGTAGATGGGATTTTAGGCATGAGCCAGCATACCTGACTCCAAGCTATGCTTTAGAAAATAGCATTTGATGAAAGTGATTGGCAACTGGGATTGCAGGAAGGAGAGCAATCACTGAGGAGCTGATGAGGGAGCTGATGAAGAACTAAAGAAAGAAAGACAAAAAAGGAAAAAGGAAAGGAGAGAAGAAAGACAAAAAAAAAAAAAAGATCAAGATCTTTCAAGACCAGGCTCAGGCATCTGGCTTCAAGATCAAGTGGAAGTATGAGTATTTAAGTTATAGACAAAGGAGGAACAGCCCCTGGAGATTTCAAAAAGGAATGGTAGAGAAGTAGAAGAAGAACTGGGGGATGGAGGATGGGCAGGGAGCTTTCAGGGAAACCAAGGGTAGAGAAAGCTGCAGGAAAGGGAGAAAGAGCAGAAGAGAAGTCAAGTAACGTGAAGACCAAAAACAGGCCATGAAGCCAGTCGTGGTGGTACACATCAGTAATCCCAGCACTCAGGAGACTGAGGCAGGAGGATCTTGAGTTGGAGGCCAGCCTGGGATACATAGAAGGACCCTACCTCAAAAAACAGGAGCAGCAACAACAAAACTGAGGCAGCTCCTATTCAGCTTTCAATTGTTGCCATGCAGAAATGTTAAATCAATGTTGCCAAATTTGCCTGTTGTTTTCCATAGAGATCTGCCTTTTGCAGGAACTCTCCTGATTAGCTGGGTATCACAACTAATCTGCCATTTTGAAACAATGTGCAGCCCAAACTAAACACATACAGGAAGCAGATTCAACCCACAGGTTACCAGTATTTTTTTTCTCCCCATATTGAAATTCTGATTTTCATGGTACAGGAATTAAACAGCAGTTCCTATTCAAACAAATTCCTTTACTTAGCTTTTCAAATTCAATAACAAACATTTCCCTCTCTCTTGAAAAAGCAGATGGGCACTACCAATGCAGCCTGGACATCACTCTAGACCCAGCAACTCTCTTCTTATCCCATGCATCTAAGTGGTCATTGAATGGTGACAGAAACACTGTTCCAATGGTCAGTTCCTCCACTGCCACTGCTGTAATGAAATCTTTTGTCACCTCCCACTTAGACTACTGCAACTGTCCTCGGACTGGATTCCCACTGAGCATGAAAGCCAGATGCCTGAGCCTGGTCTTGAAGGTTCTTTGTCCTAACTTTTCCAGCCAATCTTGCCCATTTATGCTCACAAATCATATTCTAACCCCAAGATATACTATTCACATTCAATCTTCCTTCATTCTTGATGGTCCTTCAGTCTAAAATACTGTCATCCTTTTAAGATTCAACTCCAGTGTCACCTCAAAGACCCAAGTTTCTTAAATCTTGAGCTCTTAGACATTTCTCTTCAAAGTGTTCCAATCATCACCAAATCTGCTTTGGGTCAACTTCAGACCATCTGAGGTAGCAGGAATTTGGGGATCCCAAGCCCCTGACCAGAGGAAGGGACACCATATAGAAGTCTTCCATATGGAAGGAACACTATGGGACTATGACATGAAGGGTATGGGCAAAGTTCTGTAAAAGGCAGTGAGGAAAGCTGGGATCGAGGTGTCCTGAGAAAAGGTTTCCTGCGAGTGATAAATATAACAAGTAAAGTTACAATAGGAAGGGAAACAGTCTTGGGAACAGGAAGCTTAAGTTTGAATCTAGTTTTTACTACTAAGTTGAATGACCTTGGGCAAATCACTTTATCTCTTATGCCTCAGATATCCCACAAAGAATTAACCTGGAAGGTAACACCCACGCACAGGAAATCAATGTGAGTCAATGCCCTGTATAGCTATCCTTATCTCAACCAGCAAAAACCCTTGTTCCTTCCTATTATTGCTTATACTCTCTCTACAACAAAATTAGAAATAAGGGCAAAATAGTTTCTGCTGGGTATTGGGGGGGGGAGAGGGAGGGGGCGGAGTGGGTGGTAAGGGAGGGGGTAGGGGCAGGGGGGAGAAATGAACCAAGCCTTGTATGCACATAGAATAAAAGAAAAATGAAAAAAAAATAAAATGCTAGAATCAGAGATTTTGTGACACTAAAAAAAAAAAAAGAATTAAATGACATAATGAATAAAATGCATAGGACAGAAGCACCGTTCTAGATCTAGTCCAGATGCCACCCCTTCCACAAAGTCTTCACTGAACTTTCTAGTGGGAAATAATTGTGCTGTTGCTCAATTCTGGAGTTATTTCTTTGGTTGCTCTTTCATAGCCTAAGTGTTTTCTATTTCATACAATTACTAAAAGTCAGGGGCAGGCATGGTTGTATCACACCTGTAATCCCAGCTAGGTAGGAGGCAGAGGTAGGAACACCATGGTCTGAGGCTAGCCCTAGGCAAAAAGCATGAGATCTTTTCTGAAAAATAGACTAAAGCAAAAGGGGTCAGGGCTATGGGCCAAATTATAGAGTACCTGCCTAGCAAGTGTAAGGCCTTAGTACAATCCCTAGTACCACAAAAAAAAAAAAAAAAAAAGAAAGGAAGATTGCTAAAAGTCATAAGGGACTCTTTCAAGTGACTATAAAGCTTCCAAGTTTATGTCCAATTCATTATCTATCTTTCACCCTTAGGACTTAGCTCATAAGAAGCACCCAGGAGATATATGTGAGCTAAATGAAGGATACAATGGCACTCCTGGGACCCAAGAGTGTATGAATGCCTGATCTCCCTAATTATTAGACTCCTGCCTCCTCAAAGAAAAGGACACTATCTGTGCCACTCAACAATTTATCCCTAACACAGCACCAGACACATAGGAGATTCCATAAATATCTGTGAAATGAATGAATGAATGAATGTTTGTCCAGTATAGGACACTATGAGCTTTCTGATCTCTGACCTCCCCTATGAAGTTTTGTAGGCTCTTCTCATGTGTTCCTCCTAGTGTAGTACTTATCACTTTATTAAAATGGTTTGGTCCCCTTACCAACTTCCCACCCACCATCAGGTCTGTGATATAATAACACTGACACCTAGCATAGAGCTTAGAACTCACCCAAAATATGCTGGGTGGATAGATGAGGACAGAGAAACATTCAACTGATTTGTCTTTCAGTGGAACTCTCTCAGGTGGCTAATCATACCTATCTGCTAGATAGGTGAATAAAGGAAAAAATGAATAAATCACTGCTTGGGAGATGTGTGAGATGATAACTGCTGGGGAAGGCTCCAGTGACTCAGAGAATATTGGGACCTGGCTTCCGGTCTACATAGTACTTACTTGATCTTTGACTCTGAAAATGACCCTTTGCTTTCCTTTTTTTTTTGGTTCTTGATCTGTTTCTTTACCTGTAAAATAGATATTACAATTCTTCTTAGCCTGCCATTTAGAGCTCTTGAACTCTCTTATTAATTATATCTTACTGTGACCCTTCTGCTCCAAAAATGTATCTTGCTTGGGGCCTACAGGAAAAAATACAGGGCAAAAGATCAAAGAAATAGTTGGACATAGATAAAGACACAGAGTCAGGGACATAGATGGGAAGGGATATAGGAAAATATTTTTAGAATAATAGAGTGCTGCTGGATTGATTACATAAGATACAAAAAGCACAAATCAGAGAAAAAGAGATCATTTATGCTAGCATTTAAATAAATTTATATAGAACAAAAATGGCAAAGACAAAGTTAAAAGATAAGACCCAGTCTGGGGGCCAAACACAGTGGCTTAAGCCTACAATTTTAGGTACCTGGGAGGCAAAGATCAAGAGGATGGAGGTTTGAGGCCAGCCATGCAAACGAAATCAGTGAGACCCCATCTCAACCAATAAAAGCTGGGCATAGTGGTACATGCCTGTCATCCCAGCTACTAGGGACACATAAATAAGATGATCATGGTCTGGACTGACCCGGAATAAAGCAAGACCCTATCTCAAAAATAACCAACACAAAAAGGGCTGGGGGAATGGTTCAAGTGGGAGAGTGCCTGCCTAGCAAGCATCAGGTACTGAGTTCAAACCCCAGTACCACCAAAAAAAAAGGAACCATGTTTGGGAAAAGATATTTGCAAATGGTAAATCAAACTCAAGCTCAAGGATACACGGCAGACATAACTATAACTACTCATAGAAAGTCCAATTCCCTGTGAGAAGTTATGAATCTATAACTAAAGGAACAAGAAGGAAATGTATCACCCAGGTTACATTTTCTAGAAAGTAACTCTAAGAGAAGTATGGACTCTAAACAAAAGTCCAAGTTCCAGACTTGAGGCTGCCTGCCTGGTTAATTTCAGCTACTTGTGGTCTCTATCTCAAACTTGAAAGCTAATGACAATTTGACTTTAGTACCTTCTACTCCAACACACACACACATATACTCTTTGTCTCTCATGCATGTGCATACCCTCTCCCACAAAGGAAGCAGCAACACTCATCTGCATCTGCATATATGTGCTGGCTCCATTTCTTTGGCCTATCACGTTTCTGTCCTTTTTTTTCTTTTTGCCTGTCTCCTAAAGATAACTTTCCAATACCTCCCTAATCTCAGGTTGACCCTACCACCCCAGGCTCACTTCTTAACTGAGGCTCTCTGCTACATCATGTCCTGCTTCCCCAACATTCCCCAACCCACCTTATGCTGAGGCTAAGATTCTCCAAGGCCAGGCTTGGGTCTTCTCTCTCTATCCAGGATGGCAAAGTGGCTCAAGCAGTAAGAGGGCCTGCCTAGCAAGCTTGAGGCCCTGAGTTCAAACCCCAGTACTGTCAAAAAACAAACGACAACAGCAACAAAAACACTTATCTCTCTCTCCCCAGCACCTCATACAGGGCCTGGTCTATTGAAAGGAGAGTGTTAATGAGTGTTAATTGAACTAAACCAAGACACGAACGAAATGCTACAGGAGTGCTTCATTTTGTCTGCAAAAAGGAAGAGCAAGGATCAGTGAAGGTTCCACAGAGCAGGTGACATTAGAACTGGGTCTTGAAAGGTGAGAAATTATGAATGAACAGCAACAAAAGCTATGGGGGCAGAGAGTGGCCAGCGATTGCTTCACAGAGGTAAAAGAAATCTCATCTGATATTATTTGGTGATAATTATTTTCATGTGAATGTTAGCTTTGTTAAGACAGGGTTTTGTCTGTTTTATTCAGGGATATATCCTTAGTGATAGTACAAATAGTGTACAATGTGTACAAATAGTGTACAATGCAATAGTACTACGAGAAAACCCTAGATCTCTAGAGTAGAAGCCAGGTCTACCTTAATTCTCCTATATCCTTTAGTACAGTGCCAGACATTCATTAATTGTACTCATAAATATTTGCAGAAAATGAATTAAAAATTAATTAAGATCTACACCAGTATAACACCCGAAAACTATAAAAGCAGAGGGCCAGAGAGTAAATATGCGTTTTGAACTTTACAAAAAGAAAAGAAAAGAAAAACACCAAACCAGAAAACATCACTACAAAAACCGGGTTCTGATACATGCTATCTGGTCTTGGGTTAGTTCCTTAGTTTCCTCAATCTGATATGGCTGTTCTGGGACTAAGAGAGGATGGATGTAAGCGCACGTAGGCTGCCTGGTGAACAGTAGGTAGACAGTAAACGTAAGTTCTGCAAGAACATTACTAACAGCTAAGACAGCAGTCTCTTCAGAGAATAGTGGGGTTAAGGGTCTTATCACAGCTGGAAAACATGAACATCTCTTCCCCGCCTCTTTGGAGACTCCACATCAAGGGTCGGGGAGACTCTAACTCACACAAACTAAGTTTTCAGCCGCACCTGCCTCCGGCGTCTCTTCCGCCTCCGAACGGTTCGCGTTGACGACGTCCGGGTCAGTCGGGATGCGCTCCAGAGAGCCTCTTGGGAACCTCGGACCTGCTCCACGGTAGCGCTTGCCACTACTGCCTTCCCACCCACTCCTTAGTAACCACGACGCCGCGCTGGCGGCGGAGGCGGCAACGGGTGGCCGAACCGTCTAACTACATGTCCCGGCAAGCTCTGCGGCCACTTCCGCCCACAACGCGTCAGCACGTCTAGAACTACGGATTCCGATGGGCAGCGCGTCACGCCTACAGCTTCAACCAATTGTCTTCCGACAAGTCGAAGGGGAGGGAGACGCCGAGGCAGACAAGATGGCGGCGGCGGCGGCACAAGGCGGAGAAGCGGTGGTGGCGGAGGTACTAGTGGAGCTGGGGGTGGCCCCAGCTCTGGGGCAGGCAGCAGCCGCAGTGGTTTGTTGGATAAGGTGAGGAGCCGATTTCTGGGGAACTTACAAACCCTGGGGAGTCCTGGGAGACGGCGAACCCACCTTCCCATCCCCGCCACTCTTATTTTCTGAGGTTTCTTGAACAGAGCTTTTGTCTAGCACACCTACGCACGCATGTAGCCGTGCCTCTCCACATTTCATACCCAGTCCTTCTCCTCTCAAGGCCTTCTTTCCTTCTCAAAATTATTCCTGGTCCTTACTCCTGGCAACCACAGGTTCTCCGTTGGCCATCGCTTTTCCGTTGTACTGGGGCCGCTATTGAAGGTGCCCATTTTAGTTCGGGGAAAACTGAACTCCAAAGGAATTAAAAGAATCTACTCGAAGTGGTGTCCCCTAATCTCCCTTCGACCGTCACCCTCGCTTGCAGATTCCAACGTGTTCCTTTTGTGTGCTGAAGTTTCTAGGCATTTTTGTCATGATACACCGAAAAATAAAAATTTTTGAGTACTGATTGACCTCGTTGGGCTCACAGGAAGCGTTAAAATTTTCCGTTTTCCCTCTAGCCTTCCTTGCCCTCTCCTCTCTCTCCTCCCTTTGCTTGCCACCAAGTGTACTGCTACCTGCTCGCTCTCGCTCCTTTCCCTCTCTGTCAGACTTTTTTGTTGTTGTTCAATTGTAGTCCTAGCAACAGGTCTTGAAAGAACAGAAAAAAGGAAAGATTGACCTTTCTTTCCCATTGCACAGCATCTTAGAAGAAACAGGCGTATGGAAAGCAGAGTCCTGGTATGTTCTGACCCTAGCTATGTGACCTTGAAATATTTGTTTTCCTTATCTGTTTATTCATCTGCAAACTGAAGGATTTAACCTTGAATGTATCCTGAAGATACCTTCCAGTTCTGGTAGGATCCTGGGCTGGTTTGATAAGAATGGTGTCTTTAATATAGCAAACAGGCTTTTCTTACTTTAATTGAAAACCTTTCATACTTCATTGTGCCTGGTATGTGGTAGATGCTTAAGAAATGAGTACCTGATCATGTTGAGATACCTAATTCAGATCAGATCATTTTGCCTTTCTTCCCATCTTCCTCTACCACTGAGCTACAGCCCACCTCTGCTTGTCTTTTTGAGTGTCATTGGTTTTGAATTTGAGACAGTCTTCCTGTGTAGCGCAGGCTGGTCTCAACTGGAGATTCTACTGCCTTAGCCTCCTGTATGCTTTCAAACTCAAATCTTTCTTAAGAAACAGGAACGTGTTCTGGAGGTTAGGTTGGTAAATTGCTTCAAGACATGGTATTTTTGTATACAAATCCTCCCTTCATGCTGGGTGAGCACTTCAGGGTCTGTGCCGATCCTTTCCCACTGATTGTTTTTCTACTCTCTACTTGGATTATCACCAGCAATTAATAATCATGGGCATTCTGCTAAGGCAGAGATTACTGAATATAGTACCTCTTGGTGTCTGTGCAGGTTTGGTTGTAGGTGCCCTTGCAGATTTTGCTATCCCAGGATGCTTAAGTCCTTTATAAGATGGTGTAGTATTTGCATGGAAGCTATATATATCCTCCAGTGTACTTTAAATCACCTCCAGATCACTTATACTACCTAATACAAAGTAAAAGCTATGTAAATAGTTGTTATACTGTGTTTTTTAAGATAGATAGAATGGCAAAGTCTGTATGTGTTCAGGACATACGCAGTTTTTTCCTGAATATTTTCTATCCATGGTTGGATACAGAGAGCTGACTGTAATAAATATTGTTACTTAACCTCACTAAGTTTCCCTTTTTTCATCTGAAAATATTAGAGTCTCTGGCACCTATGTTTCTGGATTTGGGGGCAGAATCAAATCACATCAGCAGTCTCTGTATCTTGTAGTGTCTAATACTAATGTGTAATGGTAGAGGAGTACATCAAGAAATCCAATTATCAGCGACTACTGCTGAATAGAAGAGATAGGGTACTCAAAATATTAAGTGTATTTAAGGAAGTACATGCTGTATTCAAATGGGTACTTTTTACAAAAGTACCAATGACAAGGAGATAATGATCCTTGATATCTAATTGATAAGGGTAAGAGCCTCATGTCTGGGAGTGGAGGTTAGATCTTAGTATGAGACAGAAGAAAAGCGTATCAATATGGGTAGGAAAATCTTCTTAAGCAAAGGTACACAGAATGTGATGGTGCCTTATGTTCTCTAAGTTAATTGAAGGGGAACTGTAATGGCAAGTAGGTAGAATCAGACTAGCGAGGGGCATGGATTGCTTGAAGTAGGAGTAGAAAGCTGTTGAAAGTTTTTGAGACTATATAAAATGATTTTAGGAAAATTGGCTCACAGAGGTAGAAATTAGAAGTGTAATAAGGCTATGTACTATATTAGTATATAGGATTTCATGAAAAGACAGGTAAGTTTGAGTTCTGTGTAGTACATTAAAAGTCACATATTACTGAACTTAATTTCGTAGTCACAGTATACATTGTGGGTTCATACATAATACAGGCTTGTAAAAATTACATTGCATAATATTGACAAATATTCTTTGTAAAGGGCTTTATAAAAATGGAATGTTGAGGTGATGAGAGAACCCCAACTTGAGTTGGGGAAACAGATAAAACATTCTCACAGAAGAGCACTTGGAAGATTTAACTACAAAGTAAGGGAGAAAAGAGAGAAAATAAACAAGAGTTATTCTAAGTGTTTTTTTCTTGGAAAACTTTAGTTCAGCCTTAAATTGAAGTATTCCCCTCTGAATTTCTCTAGCACTTTACTGCACACGGGAATGAAGCTATCAATTAATATCATATACTATCTTACACTGTTCCACCCTTGTGTATTTGTCCAGTTTCCCATGAGGGTTCCCTACAGTGATCAACAGAGTAAGTACTTACAGCATTGAATTGAGCAGAGAAATGCTATCTCAGTCTCCAGAAACAGTTTTAAGGGATGATGCCTCTGTATTTCTGAAAACTGAGAGTAGTATGGGAGAGAACATGGAAAAATTGTCCTTAGTGGAAGCAGGATGTGAATGACTAGAGGGTTTTAGTGTATGGGAATGAGAGATTGTTTGTTTTAATACAATCTCTTTCATTTGCTTTGTCTTTATTTTAGAGGGCTTTTCTTTGGTTTCTGCAGATGTAGTTTCATTTGCCATAAAGAAGTATAGTAAAAGAGATGCTAATGTGCTTCTAGCTTTCTTTAAACAGATGTGAATTTCTGCTCCTCTGAAACTGACTTTTGGAACAAAGCAACTCTTGTTTCTTGATTTTAAAAATAAGTATGCAAATCTAATCTCTAGCCTCCATCATAAAATGACTTGACTTAGTTCACTGCACTGTTACCTTCCCCAAAATATATCAGAGGATTTTCTCCTGTGTGGAAGCTATAAGAATAACTGCTTGCTTAATTTCTTTTGACAATTAAAATTGGTGTATAATATTAAACTATGCTCTTATGAAACCATATCCAGACCCTTTTAACCTCATACCAGGATTCTGTCTTGCTGATCTTAAAGCACAGCTTCTATATCTTAGTTGAGAACAGGTTTGTCTGTTAAACTTTGAATTCTGGCTTTGCCATTTACCAGATTTACGTTCTTGGACAAGTTAGTAAATCTTTTTATACCTCAGATTCCTCATCTATAAAGTGGAAGTAATTAATATTTACCTTAAAAGATAGCATTGGCACATAGTAAGCACTAAACAAAATGCATATATTGCTAATTCTGTTCCAGTTACTCTGAATTTCAGCTTCCTTAGATAAATTTTTTCCAGTCCACTGTATACATCAGATTTCCTTGGGTATTAGTTTAAAATAAAATTTCTGGACCTCGTTCCAGACCTGAATCAGATTCTCTGGGATTGAAACCTGAACATGTAGATTTTTGTACACATCTCTATTTATTACCTTTGCATTTTATCAGTGATGTCAGGGTTGAAAATGACTGGTCAGATTCTGGATATGTTCTCCGTGTACAGTCAGAAAAATATGATGGGTTGAATGTAGACTGTGAGGCAAAGAGAAAATTCAAGGACAACTTTTTGGGCTTAAACTGGATAAGTGGAGATACCTTTCATTGAAATGAGCAAGATTGAGAGAGAAGCACTTTGAGGAGTAAGCAGAAATAAAAGTTTGACTCCGGCCATTTAAGTCTGATAAACCTGTTATGCATTTAAGTAGAGATGGTGATGGCAGTTGTACATGTAATTCTGGTGCTCCTGAGAGAGTCCAGGTTGGAAATACCAATATGGAGATCTTCTTCAGCTTATACGTGTCATTTAAGCCATGACACTGGCTATCACCTTGGGATGAGTGTAGACAAAGGAGTGGGTCAGGGATGAGCTCAGGGGCTTGCCAGTATTTATAGGTCAGGAAGAAGGCAAAAACCCAATAAGAGAAATGAATGAAAAGAGGAAGAAAATCAGGGGCACACAGTGTCCTGAAAGCCAAGTAAAGAAAATATTTCGGTGAAGAAGCAATCAGTGGATTAAGTACTATGGAAAGGTTAAATAATATGAAAAACTACTATTGTGACTTGACAGGATGGGTAGCAAGAACAGAAAAGTGGTGCTGGCAACAGCTAAGACAAAACAGACCTGGACAGATGGAGGTTAAGTGAGTCTATTAGTTATTAAATTAATATTGATGTGAAAATAATTAGCACACATGATAACATTGTGTCACATAATGGTGGATAAAGAGAAAAATCAAATAATTTGAAGTGTTAAGGATTACTTCATAAACAAAGACAAAAATAAGGTTTTTTTTAATTGAGATATAATTCACAAAGTTCACAATGCAGTGGCTTTTAGTGTACTCACAAGGTAATGTAACTGTCACCAACTACAATTTCAGAATATGTTTACAACATCAAAAATAAACCCCATGCCCTTTTAGCAGTCACACCCTATTTTCTCCTCCCAGCTCCTGGCATCCACAAATCCTAGTGTGTGTGTGTGATGTGTGCACACTTTCATGCGTGCCCACTAGGGATCAAACCCAGGGCCTCAATGCATGCTAGGCAAGGGCTCTACCACTAAACTA